ACGACAATGTTGCTTCCACTTATCATTTCTCATCGTCATACCGCATGCTGGTTCTTGACAACGATACTTATATTGAGTTGTTGTTGATCGGGGCATTTTATGGAGAATATTTGATTAATTAGAACATACGTGCTTATATTTATATATGCTTATACTTATATACGTGTCTACTGAAAGCCAATATACAGTTCTATCTCTTTTCACTTGAAAATGGCAGCAGCGACTGTCGAAATATTGTGAAAATAAATCTGTGATTTGAATGAATCATGATCTTCTCAGCAGTTCTCTACTTCATTTCATTATTTAATCTTACTGCTCCTCGCTCTTCATTGTATTATGATTTATGGAAAATTATTTTCGGTTCAACGCAAAATACATAGTTTTAAAAATAACAGTTACATTTTTCGTACAAGTCAGTCAGTATAACATATTTTTATTTCAGTTATAGTATAACTGTTTGACGAGAAAGATGCATCAAATAATTTACTTCTTTCCTTTCACATCTTATCGGGTGTGAGTGACAATAGAGAGAAGAGAAGTAAAATAGATAGTAGAACATGTTTTCTTACATATGTTTTACTTTTCTTCTTTCTACTCTGTTTGAAGCGCTTGTCATTCGCTTAGATTTGCCAAGAAGGGAGTATAACTTATTTGATAAATCCCTAGCTATTTATTTATTTACATTACACTTGAGCATCTCTTCTTATCAAGATTCTTCGTAAATGTTAATTTCTTAGCATTTACTGTTTCTGATTCTTTTATTGATTATAGAAACTGCTACTTAGCAACAAGCACCAGTACAACACAGACAGGACCTTACAAAAAATCATTTTGTACTATACCCAAAATCATACAACTTTTATACGTGGTACAAAATGAAAGGTGGGGTGTTATGCCTCAAACCCTTAGGTGGGGATAGACGCCCCTGCTTAAACACTTAATGATTATTTCAATTGAAAATGATTTAACAGACGAATTGTCAAGTGAACAGTTGATTCAACAATGGTTAAAGAACAAGTCTGGATGTCGTATATGAATGACAACTTTTTTATCAGTGTTCATATTTTTAGACTATATTTTTATTTTTTCATCGAACAGTTTGTGACTGAATGAACAGAGAATGAAGCAATGACAGTAAAGCGAATAGGCAGACACAAGCTCACTTACTAAAAGTAGACTTCACCATGAGCTCGGAGAATCAGGGGCTTATTTTTGGAGACCTTACTCCCATTTTTGGATTTATCCCCCACCATGCTCTCAACCTCTTCGCGCCGCCACTGATATTTCAAGCTTTTCTCGCGGGAGAAGGAAGCACGGAACGATCTTCCCTTCTCCATGCATATACAATATTCACTAAACTTTCTTCGAAAATTACTTCTTCAAAACTTTTGTAATAAGATGATGGCGTGACTTTTCCGTTGAAAGATATTGCTTAAACCCTATCGTAGACTCTAGCCGTTGACAAGATCTGCACTCGTATCTGATTCTTGATGGCATACGTACATACGTACTTATAAAATACTTCGGCGAAAAAGTTTTTTTCTTACCGATTACAAAAGTTTTCCGTTTCTGTTTCTGTTCGGACTTGATCTGACTGTTCGAATTTATCGACCTAAACAATAAAGTGTAGAACTAGTGTTTGTTTGAAGCTTAGTAAGCCAATCTACCTTCGAAATATGTTCTCGCATCACTTGAATCATACAGGGCATCGCAAAATTCATAATATCGTGTCGTCATGCTAATTCTAAAATAACATCACGACGTAATAAATCGTAGCATTAAAATAAACATGCTCCAAAACATTCAAATAATTTTTCATCTAGAAACCATGCTTATTAATTCTTCAGCTATATCAACTTGTCGAGATTCAGCAGTATATGTCATTGAACCCTAAAATAAAACCAAAAATAATAGAATAAATGCTCATAGCTGGGACGTAGAACGACACAGAAGGAGGGATATTCTTTAACTGGAAGATTCTCAATTAATAGGAACATAAAAACTTACTCTGTACAAGCGATCTTTTTCGTTAATTCAACAGCTTGTTTCCAACGATTATTTCCTTTGTATAAATATGCTCCCCCACGACGAAATTCAATCAGTTCATGTTTTTCCAAACATTGGGTCAATGATATATTACCAAAATTATCATAAGCATCAATTAAACTTCTCAAACCTTGATAATCTTCTTCTTCAATTAATAAATTATTCAATGCTTCATTAATTGCTTTATTGTTGATGTTTTGTACCGATCGTAAATAGGGTTTAACTAATGGCAATTGTTTGACTGAAAAAAACGAGGAAAAAAACTCTATAACATGTGAAAAGTGTAAATCAAATAGAGGATCGACATTCGTGTGATTCCTGCCTGGTCGATGCGTAATCGTCATAAATTCTCGATATGGTTGCAAGTTTAAACTCCAATTCAAAAGTCGTGATCTGTAATGAGTTCAAAATAACTTCCATCCAGGCAACAATGTGACTTTTTAATTGACCACACTACAGCTAAGCATTCAAGTTCAGTAATGCCGTAGTTTTACTCAGCTGAAGTTAACTGTCTGGACAGATAACAAATCACTCTCTCCGCATTATCGGGCTGTTGCTGTTGTAAAATAGCTCCTAAGCCAATAGTGCTGGCATCAGTGTATCCTTTAAATGGACGTGTATAATCTGGCTGAGCTAATACCGGAGCAGTAGTTCGTGCGATTTCAATGCTTCGAAAGCTTCCTGCTCTTCTGCGCCCCATCTCCACAAATTATTTTTACTCATGCGTCTCGTTAATGGCTGGGAATCATAGCAAAATCTTTAATGAATTTCCTATAGTACATGCATAGACATGAAATTGTTCTACCTGTTTTTGATTCTTTGGTGATGACCGATCACTCAAGGACAGCGTTTATCTTTTCTTTACATGTTGCTAGTCTCAGATGTGTAATCATGTTTCCTAGTGCCTTCACTTCTTAATAAAATAAGTGGGTTTTAGTCAAACTAAGAGTGATGTTTGCTTTAATGACTAACTGAAAAATTTTGTCGCATGATTTCGAATGTTCTTCAAAAGTAGTGCTGGATATAATCAGATCATCGACATAAACAATAGCCAGTTTCCAATTTTCACCTGATAACATTCAATCCTTGACTCGTTGAAAGACAGCTGACCCATTTTTCAACCCGAATGACATTCTTCTGTATTGTTTTGAATCCTTCTGAGTCCTAAAGCTGTCTTTTCTTTATCGGACTCTGACTGAAGCTCAATTTGGTGGAAAACTTTGTTGGCGTCAAATGTGCTGAACCACCTCTTTCCATTAAAACGGGGTAATCTATCTCCCATTCTTAGAATGGGATATTGATCCGACTTTGTCACAGCATTTAGTTTACGGTAATCAACACACATTCTGGTCGATCCATGGTCGTTCCATTTTGAGACATAAAGCCTGCAAACGATTAGCAAATGATGATACAGTTTTGTATTGTTCGTGATAAATAATTCTGATTTTATATTTGAGTTGTTCAACTTCTTCACTTGATCGAAATCTTGATAAAAATAATGTTTTAAATGCAGTCCAAGTGTTAGGTATTTGATTAGAATTACTCAATCGATTTTACTACCACAAAGTACCCTCCGTCAACCAGCCACTAATTCCCTTCGACAAACGATCATTGGACGAACCATTCACTCTACAACATGATGCTTCGAGTTCCATCAAGAATAAAAGAGGTTTACTTCCCGGCGCTCCGCTGCATTGGCGGCATATATCTTTCGATACTACTGGGATGTTGGAAAAGTGTTGACTGGAATGGATGTTATGAGAGCAGAACTACTTGTACGAAATAAATATTCAACGAACTCGTCCGATGCTGTTCGTTGAGGACAAATTATCGGACGTGAATAAATTGAATAAGTCGATGGTCCATCAACAGTCCTATGATTTGTATTGCTCACGGCAGTTTCGTACGAGGAAGCGCTGTTGGTTAGCATGTTTGAGCAACTGGAATTCTATTGAACAGTCTTTGAATTGTATCCTTGATTTCTTTCATCTCAGCACTAATTTGATCATTCCCGTTTTGGATAGTCAAATCTATTTTATCTATGTGCATTCTCAAATCATCAACCTGTTGTTGTACACTAAATTGCTGAGCCAAGACATTTCGGCAATGATTACCTCACTTTCACCTAGTGATGCTGATGACATTTCTAACAGAGTTTGCACAAGAGGTTCTGAAGAACTTATGCTTGTTTTTGATTTTGAAATGTTTATAATTCTTTTTATTCCTTTCACTGGTGTTTTTACTAGCACCATTTATTTGATTCAAATTCTATATTTAATACTCTCTTAGATACTCGGCATTTCAACCAAATGTAACAAAACTGACACAGGGGCTATTAATAAAACAAAAGAACCTTTTATTTTAAATTATTCGTTAAAACTAATGAATCATCTTTGCTTTTCTTTTTTATCATCTGGAAACTGCGCTGTAGGATGCAGATTCACAACCAAAAACAGAATGTATCGTGGATAATTTCAGATTCAATATTAAGAGCAGCACGCATCTTAAGTGTAGAAAGGAAAATTCTCATAATTCATCTAAAACAGACGTGCAAAACTTTCATCGAAATTTTTGCATCCCGACGTTTAAGACGCCGTTTTTCCTATTATAAAACGATCCGTTATTGTCTGTTTCGATATGGGATTTTTACTCCTGTTACATATCTGCTTGTTATCATTTACTTCACATTTGAACGAAAGAACCATATAGTTTTCAAAATTAGAGGATAACCAAATGCAACATAAAAACGAAAGTAACTTTTCCTAACAATAAAACATTATTTTCCAAAATCCATGCTTAACGTTTTTCCCACAGATATGATGATTAGAAGGAAGGTAAAAAATGATTATATCCCTTAACCAAAAACTAGACAGGCCTGCCAGATATACAGTGCGATCTCAATAGTTTCGCTCGGATCCAGCGACTATTTTTATTTTAAGTTTCATTTTAATAATATCTACTGTTCTGGATGCAGAACTTGATTTAGAATCGTTTGATTGAGCAAAACCAAATTTGTAAAAACTCAGATCTAAAGCTTTTAGGGCCTCTTCTGTGGTTATATTTGAAATCACCACTATTCATTATCGCTCTTTGCATATTCTTTATGAGAAAAGCGCTTTATCATCTATGGAACTTTTCTTGTTATTCAGAGAAGATACAGTTTGAATAGGAAAATGAGAAGAACTCTGTTGAACATATTATTATATATCCGTTCCTTCTTCACAAGATTTCGTATCAGAAAGAATAAATACTAATTGTCACGTCTTCAGAAAGCGTATGACGCTAGTCATTAAAGTGGATGGATGCTGAGTTTCATCGGAGTATGACAACTATCATTACAGTTTTTGTATACGCTGAAACGAACTCGTTCATCTTTCTTTCAACATGTCATCATCGCCTTCCGACACTATTATCCAGTTACAATCCATAATGAAGTCAGTATATATTTACGGATCCTTAATGCTACTAGTGCTTGGGACAATTGGTTCGGGTTTTAACATCATGATATTTACTCGCCGCACATTCAGAACGAATTCGTGTGTTCGATACCTTCTCACTTCAACCACAGTTGATTTCATTCTACTGTTTGTAACATCAACCATACGTATGCTAATCGGTTTCAACAAAGATTTTACTTCTCAATCGTCTGTCTTGTGTAAATTGAGATTCTATCTTACATATATCTTATTAACTTTATCAACGTGGCTTAATCTCTGCGCTTGTATCGATCGGTTTTTATCCAGTTGTCAAACGATCAAGTACAGAAGTCATAGTAATCTTAAAAACTCCAATCGTGGTATATTGATCTCTATCCTCATCGCAGTTATTGTATGGATCAGTTCATTCGTTTGTTATGGCGTTACTTTCAACAGTGTTTCATTCCAATGTTTCACCATAAGTGATTCATGTCAGCTTTTCATTAACATCTCTTTGTTGGTATTGCAAAGTTTAGGTCCCAGTGTTCTGATGATTTGTTTCACTCTGTTAACCGTGGCCAACATAAAGCGACTCCGTCGTCGAGTTGTTCCTGTACGATCAGGGGCCTTGTTGAATCTACAAGAACGACAACTCTTCATTATGACGTCTATTCAAGTAATAATTTTATCGCTCCTCAGTACTCTCATACCGATCATGAATTTTTATTCATTTTCAACCTCCCGTATTGTTAAATCACAATTACGCGTAGTCATTGAACTCTTGGCTCTTCAGATAGTCATTGATGTTGGATACATTCACAATGCGAGCTCATTTTACATTTACATGGTGGCGAGCAGGGTGTTTCGTCAAGAGTTACGCACCTTCTTGTGGAGTATATATGAAAAAACACAAGTTTACCTTCGTCAACGCTAACACTAACCTTTCTTGATAGGTGAGACGACTAGTGGAGAATCCGAACAGTAATTATCACATCTTTTGTTGCAATCTACTGAGATGGCAGGAGGAACAAGAGTTGACAAAAGTGTAGCGAAACAAAGACTGTGTGGAGACAAACGAGCACAGATAGATCAAAACGGTGACCGAGAGCTCCACAAAAAAATGTCCTCCATGAATTTGCTTTGTTCCAGTGGCATTTTGTACTACAGACTTCAGACAAGTACTAAAAGGTGGAGATATGAAAACATAATCTTATTGCTGAAAGGTGTTCGGAGATACCAATCGATAAGTGGCGATAAGTTCATTTTGCATCCACGAATATTTTTTAAAGATCGTTTTTGATTAAAAACTGTCAAATTCTGAATAAAACAGTGGATTTAGATTTTGGAAAAACTCCACTTTTAGATGCTAGTGCCTTAGGCAATCTCGAAAATATTTTCTTTTGTGTTTAATTCAAACTTTCGTGCTCTATAAATTGTCAACATCGGTAATCCCAATTCTACAATTAATCCCAAATTCAGTTTGTTTCAGAGTGCTAAACGAAGGTACGAAATTCGTCTAAGATGGAATATTCCTGGTCTAATTAAAGTTTGGACGATGTGAGATAATGCCTAAAGCATCGTCTGTATTCTGTCGCATTTATGTTTTTTCCATTACAAAATAACTTTAAGAATTTTCTTAGATTGGGTTTATGTCACGAGCATCTTGCGCTGATCTGAAATCTGAAATCTGAATACTCCAGAAGTTGGTAACTTAATACATTAAGAAATATCACGTCTCTCTCATCATCTATATCTACATTAATCCATGTAATATAGTTACAGTGCGAAACCCTTGACAAAATTTGCATCAGGAAATTTGGAACAGTAATAAATTACTTTCAGATCAACGCAAAACTAACTCAACTTATTTGTTGACTCATTATTTGTCTCTATAGGACTTTTGCCTTTAGCTCTGTAAGGACCAACAAATAATGAGCCTAAAATAAACTATTGGGGGGAGACCGGGATTAATTATATGGAACTATAGTTGCTTCTGTCAAACCGAATAAGTTTATCTGGCTTTGTGTTAATTCGTAAGACAACATATTCTGTTGGTAAAATGTCGAAATATATAAAGTTTTATTTTCCATGTATTTTTGATTTTTCGGCATGTCCGGCGTCTTTTCTTTTCGTTTTCAAGATCATATTAGAAAAGATAATGAAAATTTCCCTTGAGTTAGATATATACTTATTGGATGAAGACTTGATTTTAATGTAGAACAATCTACACCAAACAAAATTCACGGGTTTTTGTTCACTTCTTAGTTCATGCCAGAAAAGTACGAAAAGAAAAATTTTTCAAGGTCATTCTTCTCCGTTATGCCGCCTAAAGGCATCGATCGAGTTACTCCTGGAAATTAACTTCCATCTTAATAGCAGACAGTTTTCTATCGTTGAATTCGTGGTATTCGATACATGCGGTTACACTACGTTAAAACATCTTTTGTCAGGTAGTTCTGATTTGGAACATCTGAGAACTTTTTGGGCTTGAACATCATAACTGGTTACGGATATACCTCCTACACTAAAAAATGTAACAGATTATAAAGCTATTACTTTCCAGAATTATGCCATAATTTCGTTGTTCTTAAGTGCGCCTGTGCACAGAGGAGGTTACTAAAAATAACAAACTTTATGTCAGAAGTAATCGAGAAACTTCATGAACTCATTCTATGATAAATGGGATGTAGAATATACTTATATCATTACAGAACGAGCTCGCAAAAAGCTTTTCTCTACTCTATAATATCCTACGGAATATGAGTAATGCTGTGATGTATATCCCTTTATAACAGTAGAACAAATAACAATTGCACAATGTGTAACATTTCATCGTATATA